TGACCACTTTATCATTATGCGATGACATTCTTTGTGTCTTCTTATAATTTTTGTCTTGAAATCTATTCTGACCAATACAAATATAGCTACTCTTCCTCTTTATTTGATTTCCATTGGCATGGAATATCTTTTTCTATACCTTTATTTTCAGCCTATATGTGTCTTTATAGGTGAAGTGTGTTTCCTGTAGGCAGCAGATCAATGAGTTTTGTTTATTCATCCATTCAGCCAGTCTATATCTTTTGATTAGCGAGTTTAGTCCATTTATATTCAATGTTATTATTGGTAAGTAAGGACTAACTCCTGCCATTTTGTTATTTGTTTGCGGGTCTTCTCTTCCTTCCTTCTTTTTTTCTTGTCTTCCTTTAGTGAAGGTGGAAGGTGGAAATCATAACATCATATCATCCTAAATCATATTATCTCTCATGATGTAATTTAATTTCTTTTATTTTTTTTACATCCATTGAATGTTTTTTTATTTGAGGTTACCATGAGGCTTGAAAACACTACCTTATAACACAATATTATAATGTTAACAACATAATGCTATTTGCATAATCAAACAAGCAAAAGGAAAACTAATAAAAATTCTATGTCTTAAATTTGTTCTCCTGCTTTTAATATTTTTGCTGTTTCTGTTTATATCTTATTGTACTATGTCTTGAAAAGTTGTTGCAGTTATTATTTTTGATTGGTTTACTTTTTAGTTTTTCTACTTCCGATAAGAGTTATTTACAGATTGCAGTTACAGTGTTATGATAGTCTGTGTTTTTCTGTGTACCTACAATTATTAGTGAATTTTGTTCCTTCAGGTGATTACTTACTGCTAATTAATGTCCTTTCCTTTCTGAATGAAATACTCACTTTAGCATTTCTTATATGATAGGTCTGGTATTGAGGAAATCCCTCAGCTTTTCTTTGTCTAAGAAAGCCTTTATTTCTCCTTCATGTTTGAAGACTATTTTTACCAGATATACTGTTCTAGGGTAAAAGTTTTTCCCTTCAGCATTATAAATATGTCATGCCACTCTTTCCCAGTCTATAAGGTTTCCACTGAAAAGTCTGCTGCCAGGCATATTGGCACTCCATTGTATGTTATTTGTTTGCTTTCTCTTGCTGCTTTTGGGATCCTTGGTCCTTGACCTTTGGGAGCTTGAGTATTAAGTTCTTTGAGGTAGTCTTCTTTGGGTTAAATCTGCTTGGTGTTCTATAATCCTGTTGTACTTGGACATAGATATTATTCTCTAAGTTTGGGAAGTTCCCTGTTATTATCACTTTGTATAAACTTTCTATGTCTATCTCTTTCTTTACCTCCTCTTTAAGGTCAGTAGCTCTTAAATTTGCCCTTTTGACACTATTTCCTAGATCTTGTAGGCAGGGTTTATTGTTTTTTATTCTTTTTTCTTTTGTTTCCTATAACTGTGTATTCTCTCTCTCTCTCTCTCTCTCTCTCTCTCTCTCTCTCTCTCTCTCTCTCTCTCTGTGTGTGTGTGTGTGTGTGTGTACGTGCGTGACTGTGTGTGTCTATGTATTTTCAAATAGCCCATCTTAAAGATCACTAATTCTTTCTTCTGTTTGACCACTCTATTAAAAGACTGAATTTTTTCAGTATTCCAATTGCATTTTTCAGCTCCAGAATTTCTGTTTGATTTTTAATTATTTTAATTGGTTGATTTTTATCTTCTAGAATTATGAATTCATTCTGTGTTATTTTAATTTAAGCTTCCTCAACACAGCTATTTTAAATTCTCAATCTGAAAGGCCACACATCTCTATTTCTTCAGGATTTGTCCCTGCTGCCTTATTTATTTCCTTTGATGAGGTCATATTTCCCTGGATGGTGCTGATGCTTGTAGATGTCCTTCAGTGTTAGGCATTGAAGAGTTAGGTATTTATTGAAGCCTTCACTGTCTGGGCTTATTCGTAGCCATCCTTCTTGGGAAGGCTTCCCAGATATTTGAAAGGACTGGTGTGCTTTGATTTAAGCTTATCTGTTGAAGAGCACACCTGAAGCCCAGCTAATGTGGTTCTTGCAAACTTGTAGAGGTACTACCTTGATGATCTTGACAAGATCCAGAAGAATTATCTGGATTACCAGGCAGAGACTTTTGTTCTCTTCTTTTACTTTCTCCCGAACATATAGAGTCTCTTTCTTGCTCTCTTTTCCAAGCCACCTAAAGTTGGGGGTGGATTGACACAATTCCGCTTGCAGCCACCACCACTATGACTGGGCTGGGTCAGACCTGAAGCCAGCACAGCACTGAGTCTTGCCCAAGGCCTCCTGTAACCACTTCCTTGTTGCTCCCTCTGTTCTCTCAAGGCCCCAACTCTCTACAGTCAGCAGGTAGTAAAGCCAGCCAGGCCTATGTTCTTCCCTTCAGAGTAGTGAAGTCTCCCAGGTCCCAGGTGGGTCCAGAATTATCATCTAGGGGTCAGGGGCTAGAGTATAAAACTATAAATGTTTACCCACTATTCTACTGTATTTAGGCTGAATTTACACACAAGCCATAAGATACAGTCATTTCCACTCTTTTTTCCCCTTTCCAAGGGCAGAGGAGTCTCACCCTGTAGCCTCCATTACCCCAGGCCACAAGGAGTATAGCTAGACTACCATGGATATTATCTTAAGGACCAGGGTCTTGTAATTAAGCTTCTGATGAATAAGGCCTAACCAGTGCTCACCCTTTAGGGCGGTGGGCTCCCTTCTGGCCAAGGACAAGTCTAAAAATGCCATCTAAGAGTCACAGCCTGGAATCAGGGACCCTGAAGAGCCTGCTTAGTGTTCTGTATTAGTCTGTTTTCATGCTGCTGATAAAGACATATTTACAATTTACAAAAGTAAGAGGTTTGTTGAACTTAGAATTATATGCATGTGGGGAAGCCTCACAATCATAGTGGAAGGTGAAAGGCATGTCTCACATGGAGAGAGACAAGAGAAGAGAGCTTGTACAGGGAACTTCTCTATTTAAAACCACCAAATCTCATGAGACTTATTCACTATTGCAAGAAGAGCACAGGAAAGGCTTGTCCCTGTGATGCAATAACCTCCTACCAGGTCCCTCCCACAACACATGGGAATTCAATATGAGATTTGAATTAAAAATAGCCAAACCACATTTTTCTGCACCTGGCCCCTCCCAAATCTCATGTCCTCACATTTTAAAATGAATCACACCTTCCCGACATCCTCTAAAGTGTTAACTCATTTCAACATTAACTCAGTCAACAGTTCAAAGTCTTACCTGAGACAAAGCAATTCCCTTCGACCCATGAGTCTTTGCTGCTTATACATTGAATGCTTGAATGCTTTGCTGCTTATACATTTATTTTACCAGACCCCCTAAATCATCTCTCTCAAGTTCAAAGTTCCACAAGTCTCTAGGGCATGGACAAAATACCATCAGCCTGTTTGCAAAAATATAACAAGAGTCACTTTTGCTCCAGTTCCCAACAAGTTCTTCATCTCTATCTGAGGCCACTTCAGCCTGAATTTCATTGTCCATATCACTATCAGCATTTTTGTCAAAGCCATTCAATAAGTCTCTAGGGAGTTCTAAACTTTTCCACATTTTCCTGTCTTCTTCTGAGCCCTCCAATCTGTTCCAACCCTTGCCTGTTACCGAGTTCCAAAGTTGCTTCCACATTTTCAGGTATCTTTTCAGTAGCGCCCCACTCTACTGGTACAATTTACTATATTAGCTGGTTTTCACACTGCTGATAAATACTACTTGAGACTGAGCAATTTGCGAAAGAAAAAGGTTTATTGGACTCACAGTTCCACGTGGCTGAGGAGGCCTCACTATTATGGTGGAAAGTGAAAGGCATGTCTCATTTGGTGGCAGACAAGAGAATAGAATTTGTGCAGGGAAACTCCCCTTTTTAAAACCATCATGTCTCATGAGACTTACTCTCTATCATGAGAACAGCTTGGGAAAGACTGGCCCCCATGATTCAATTACCTCCCACTACATCCCTCCCACAACACATGGGAATTCAAGATGAGATCTGAATTCACACAGCCAAACCATATCAGTGCTTTTGCCCTGCTGTGGCTGTGCTGGTACCTAAAGTGCAAGACAAAGTCCTGTTTACTTTTCCCTCTGTTTTTCTCAAGCAGGAAGAGTTTTGTCCTGTAGCCACCACAGCGGGTAATGTGCTGAGTCTCACCTGTGGCCAGCATGACTCAGAGACTCACCCAAGGCTCTTGATGTAGTAGTACTTGGGTATTGCTGCTGGTTTTTCAGGGATAAAAGACTCTTCAGTTGGCAAGTGATAAATGCTGCCAGAAATGGGTCCTTTCTTCAGACAATGTGTTTCCTTCTAGCCCATGGTGTGTTTAAATATGTATTGGAGGCAGGTCCTGCCAACGGGGGCCTTACAACTCTGACCAGTGCTCTATCCTGCTGTGGCTGAGCTGGTATTCCAAATGCAACATGAAATAATCTTTACTTTTCCCTCTCCTCAAGCAGAAAGAAGGGGTCTCTTTTGGAGCTGTGAGCTGTGCAGGCTGAGGTTAGTGGAGAGGTGATGCCAGCCTTCCCTTGTCTGCCCTAGCTGGTGTTGCAGTAGGACACATGCCCCCCTACCCGCTACCCACCATCCCTGGGCCTAGTTCAGCACTAGGACTTGCTTAAGAGCTACATTCCTTATGGCCTATACTGCCTTTCACGTTTACTTGGAGACACAGAATGCTGTAACCTTCAGTGGCAGGGCTTGCAGGCACTCAAGTTTTAACCTCTGGAAGCAATGATTGTCCTCTGGGTAGGGCTGGTTTAAATGCTCCCTCCATTGGCTTGCATTAACGGAGTGTCAGCTGAGTTTGATCTGGTTTTCCTTTCTGCTATAACAGGACAGAACTCAGTTCACTGCCTCACAATTGATGAGGGAATTGTGATGCCTCAGAGATACTCTGCACATCATACCTCTGCTAGGGGTGGGGGCAGGGGTTGGTAGAGGTGGTAGGTGGCATTGGTGATTCAGGACTGTTTTTTTCTTTTATCTTTTTTTCTCATTAAACTATTTTAATGGGTCTCAAAATTATGTGACAAATTTTTGGTCAAGTTGTTTCCATTAAAAAGTACTGATTTTAAAAACTAATAACTTAAAACTGTCACACGCAAAAAAGAGAACCAAAGTGGTCCACAAAACATTCTCCTTTCCTCCTGAAGGTTTTACGATGCAGTTATCATTAACCAGTCTTTTACTACTAAACTTAAATGGCCAATTGAAACAAACAGTTCTGAGACTGTTCTTCCTCCACCACCAATTAAGACTGAGGTGGCAGGTATTAGGGATAATATTCATTTAGCCTTCTGAGCTTTCTGGGCAGACTTGGTGACCTTGCCGGCTCCAGCAGCCTTCTTGTCCACTGCTTTGATGACACCCACGGCAACTGTCTGTCTCATGTCACGAACAGCAAAGTGACCAAGAGGTGGATAGTCTGAAAAGCTCTCAACACACATGGGCTTGCCAGGAACCATATCAACGATGGCAGCATCACCAGACTTCAAGAACTTAGAGTCATCTTCCAGCTTTTTGCCAAAACGGCGATAAATCTTTTCCTTCAGCTCAGCAAACTTGCAGGCAATGTGAGTCGTGTGGCAATCCAGTACAGGGGCATAGCCAGCACTGATTTGGCCTGGATGGTTCAGGATAATCACCTGAGCAGTGAAGCCAGCTGCTTCCATTGGTGGGTCATTCTTGCTGTCACCAGCAACATTGCCATGATGAACATCCTTGACAGACACATTCTTGACATTGAAGCCCACATTGTCCCCAGGAGGAGCTTCACTCAAAGCTTCATGGTGCATTTCAACAGATTTCAATTCAGTCGTAACATTGACTGGAGCAAAAGTGATCACCATACCAGGTTTGAGAACACCAGTCTTCACTCGGCCAACAGGAACAGTACCAATACCAACAATTTTATAGACAACCTGGAGAGGCAGGCGCAAGGACTGTTTTTTTTCTATCTCTTCAGAGCTTTTTCAGTGATATGAAGTTAAAACCAGGTACTATCAGGGGTCACCTGATTTTTGGTTCATATGAACGTGTTTTTCTGTGTAGATAGTTGTTAACTTGGTGTCATTGTGAGAGGGATGACTGATGGAGCTTTCTCTTCCACCATCTTGCTCCACCTCCCTCCACATTAGAATTTAAGTCACACAAAAGCAGGTACGTTAGTTTCCTGGGCTGCCACACAAATTACCACCAACTCGGTGGCTTAAAACAAGAGACAGCTGTTCTCTCAGAGCTCTGCAGGCCGGAAGTCCAGAATCACGGTGTGGTAGAGTGGTTTTCTCTGGAGGCTCTAGGGACAATTGATTCCATGGCTCTGTCATAGCTTCTGAGAGCTAATGACAGTCTTTGGCATTCTTTGGTTTGGGGCTTCATAAATATAATCTTTGCCTTTTTCTTCACATGGCTTGTCTGTGTGTCTACTCTTCTGTCTCTTTAAAGGACTTCCTTAAGAAAGCCATCAATAATTGGATTTAAGACTCCCCCTAATCCAGGATGACCTCATCTTGAAGTTCTTACCTTATTTACATCTTCAAAGATCCTTATTACAAATAGGTTACACACTTATTCAGGGTCGACTTACCCTGAATTCAACTCATAGATTAGAATTCAACTCACAACCAAGGGTAGAATGTTTCTGTTGTGCTCAATGCTGCATCTCCAGCACCTGAACCAGAGCCTAGAATGTAGTAAATTCTCGATAAGTGTTTGTTGAATGTGTGTACTGATGGCCTAAAACATGCCACACACTAAAGTCAGCACTGAGAGCATTGGAATTTAATTATTCCCTAAGTTTAATGAATTTTTTTCTTCTCAACTCACATGTAAGTTCTTTGAGAATAAAAATTCTGTCACAGTGTTTGTATATTTTGGAGTTTTAAAAATCAATTTTGTGTACATAGCTGGTGATACACTAACAGATATATAAATGGGGATGAGATTCTTTTGGGATCACTGTTGATTTTGTTTATCTTGGCTTGGAACCATCCTGATCATCCTTCCTTCCCCACTTACTGTCTTCTTTTTGGAAGATGCACTCTTGCCAAAAGAGGATGACATTTTTATGTCCCAGAAGATTATTTTTTATTCAAGAGTATATTATAAAATCCTATATATAAATGTTATTTTCAAGGCTTAGTGATGAAAGTTATCTGTAAGATAATCATATGATGCTCACTTTAACAGTATTATATTCATGTTTTATGCTATTTATGTGCAAAAAACTTGTAATAATTTGGATGAGCAAAAAAAAAATTAGAAGAAAAAGAAGATAGGTCAGATCCTATTACAAATGATTTATTCTTCTCCCTCATAAATATTTGATTAAAATGCCAAAGACCTTAATTTGTCTATTTTAATTCACATCAAAAAAGCATTCCCCAAATTGCCTATTTCCTGTGTGATCTTTATAAATCAGGAAAAGTATTCAGGCCTTCCCTTCCACTTTGAATGTTGTACAGAATTGATAGAACAGCCTCTTTTTCGTTTTGTCTTACTCAACTCACTCACCATTTATTTACTTAAATAAACAATAAATTTAGAGTCAAGGAACAGGTTTAGAACGATGATTCACTCACATATTTTAAGAACAAAATTTAACATCCTACATTCTTCGGAACAAAATCTCACTAGTTAAAAAGAGGTAGGAAATAGTTTGTAGAATTTGACATCTGCTGTCTTACGTTCATTTATTTGCTTTCTAATTTGTTTTATGCCTGGAAGATGCAATTAAAATTTTTTTTCAATCTTTATATTCATTATAAATATTATGAAATATATATGTAAAAAATATTCATTATACTGCCTGTCTCTAATCACTGGTATCCACTCCCACTCACGTACTTACACTAAAGCATCATACATGACATTTTCAGATGAAAACCTTAGGTCCAGGAGAGTTAACTCTTTTGCTAGTGATTAAACACACACATACACACACACACACACACACACACACACATACTCTATCACATATGCTAAGTTACAGATTTAATAGCAGAAAAATTGCATCTTTATACAGAAGTGAAATTATGTAAAAATATCTATCCAATTCTACAATGGAAAATATCATACATGAAATGGCTCTCTCATATACTAAATAGCATTGAAAAACAAAGCAACAACTAAGAAGTTTACTTGAAAGAAAAAGATCTGTGAGAAAAAAAAAAAAACAACCTATTATGAACTGACTGTTGGTTACCAGGGTCACAGGACTGAGTTTTAGCAAAGTCTTATAGTTTCAAGAATGGCGTCCAGCTGCTTTCTTAGGTGGTATGGGTGTCATTATTTTTAGCAAAAGAAACCTTTTCACCCTTGGTCACGTCAAAGCACAAAGAATTCCATAAATCAGTGCCAGGCTTGTTTTTAGTCCTAAATACCTGACCATATATATATTTATGTCATGTAAATTTTATTGCCTTGTGTTCAGAATAAGAATTTAGAAGATTAAAGTGGACCTTTAAAATGTAAAAATATATAAATAAATAATCACTCTTTTCTGCTTTTCTCTATGCCCCCAAATTTCTTTTAGTTTAGGCAATGAAATTAGACTAGTCAGTTTAATTTTTATTGCTAGTCAGTTTCACCTCTTAGATTCCAGAGAACAAGCCTGAACTACTAAATTTCTACTGAAAACATTGTAAGAAGTGCTTAAAACCAGACTCTAAAAGTCATATAAAAAGAAACTTTGTTATCACAAGCTTTATAAATTTAAAAAAGACTAATTATGTTTTCCTTATTTCTAAAAGCATGCCCTTTTGTCATTGAGAAATATTTGAAATTCCTCAATAATCTTGGGTTCACAAGTGGAAACATTTGGTTGTATTTGGTTCACAAGCTTACAGGGGCCTGTCTGCTTTTGGTTCTGTGTAATTAGAATGTACAGATTTGACATCAATTGTGCTCTACTTTAGTTACAACAAAAAGAGCTCAAAACAAATGTGCAAAAAGTTGGATGCAATTTAGACTGTGTGTTCTAGAAGTGAAGTGAGAAAAAAATTAACAAGCCACATGAAATCCCTTGCAACTATAAAACAGATCAACACAGTAACCAGTATTTAGGACTTGACAATGATCTTATTCTGACCAACACAGAAGGCCTGGTTAAGAAAATCAGATCCCAAATTCCACATTATGGTAATTATTTACTCTGTTCCCAGATCAGTTTAGCTGGATGATTTCCAATTTGCCTATGACTATGTCCTGTCTAGTCATACAAAATTCATACTAAATTGAAGGGCTATGAAATAATTGGTAAACTCAACTGACTGAACTGACCAAACCATTTAGATATATATTAGGAGAGTGTAAAGAACAAACAACCAACCATAAAAGGAAAAAATACTGAAAACTTTCTAAATAAGTAGCTCATGTTCCAAGCTTTCTCTAACCTCAAACTTATTCATTATGTGGGCAAAATAAAGATTTATTTTTCTCATTCAACATAGCTGTTCATGTCTGTTCATAGTGGGCACCCCTATAACAATACACAGATTAACAAAAGAAAAAGATAAAAATTAATATAAGTTTAACATGATAAGGGGTTCCTTTAGAAAGGAAGAGGCAAAGAAACAAAGGAACTGGTGTATTTTTATGCTAATTTTGATGAAGAAATATATACTTATGAAGGAATATGAGGAAAGGACAAAAGTGATCTGATCAAATGGCAATAAGCTAAGGGAAATTTAGCAAGGCCTGTTTGTTCAGAGTCTCTGTACTATCTTTGTATCATCAAGGATAAAGATATTTACTTCTTAACTAAGATAATGAAAAAAGAGATTAATGTGTGGATTACACAGACCACAAAATAAGCACTGCCGAATGTAGAGGACTCACCAAGAAAAAGAAACCAGGCATTACAAAGAAGCAAGAGGAACAGAGAAGAAAAAATGTAGAGAATAAATTCTCCTAATTATTTTGGTTATTTTTGTGATACATGTTTGACAATTTGCGTTATGTCTGACAATTTGAGATAGAGTTACATTCTCTCACGTGAGTGAAAGTGAATGTATAATTATTTTACATCGACTTACCTTATAAGATTTAAGAACCAAAACAAAAACAAACAAAACAAGACAAAACAACAAAACAAGATGTTCACTTCTTACCAATATAGTGAGGGTGCCTCTGGAATGAAGGTTTTATGATCACCTTCAGGAAAGAAGGGTGAAAAGAATGTGAGAGTGACCCTTCTGCTTCTGCTGTCTTCTCCTATGCCAGGGTGCCCTATTTTGGGGTAACTTGTCCTGAACCCCATCAGTTACATGTATAAATTATAGCTTCTTGCAGAAAGCTCTAGATACCCAATTTTTTATAAGACCCAATGTAAAGTATTCTGTTATATGCAGATAAAGGAGTGAAAAATAAAGGGGAAGAAGAAAGGAAAAATTTTACTTTAAAAATATTTCAAAACTATTGAATGGTATATTAACTTACATTGTAGTAAGAGCTACAATATTTGAGACTATGCTACAAGTCAGCTTTCTTGAGCAAAGTCCTTTTTTTTTTTTTTTTTTTTTTTTTTTTACTAAAGGTTTGAGAATTTAGCTCTGGAATGGGGAGGACAATTTGAGAAAAATGTTTTCTGATGATATTTCAGAAGAAAATATGGGTGAGAAAAATGTGGGAAATGATATTCAGAATGAAAATTATCAACACTTGAGTCTAGCACCCACATGTTATATTTCTCAGATACCCACGTGTGTTCTTTAGAAAACTCTCCATTTCATGACCAAATTTAGAGCTGTGTTTATACTACACTTTATTCCTGCTCTTATGTGTTAAATGTATATGGCATCCATGGCTGGGTGTGTCACCAATCCAATACTTGACGACTGCGTGTGGTAACTGAGAATTTTATTCCTATGGAGGCCACATTGTCATCACTTTCCTGAAACAGATGAGCCACATGTGAGTAGGAGGACATTTTCTCTAAAACAG